CCAATTTCTGATCTAAACAGACTTTAATAGCTAATCCATACCTTATCGTTGTTGAGCCAGTAGTTTTCTTCAGATTGAATGCTTGCCCATCTTTCCATGTGTTTATTCATATTTTGTGTTTCCAAAGTGTAATCATTTCCTTGCCAACTTTCACTTTATTAATCTTTTTTTTTTGTCTCCATTCATAGTGTTTTCCTGTTCTCCAGATTATATTATCAGTCCTTCTAGGCATATGCTGAATTTATCAGTTGTATTGTCTCTTGTACAGTGCTGTTCATGCTTTACTGTTTCCTCTGGAAAATTTTCCTTCATGGTCTTAGAGTCATGTTTGCCTGTTTCCTAGCCACATCTCACCAGTGTCTCTGACATGAGGTATTCAGTTAGTGTACTCAAGTCCTTGGTTATAGCTGTCTCCTGTGTATGAATTCCTAGGCTACACAGAGAAGAAATTCTTCCTTATATGTTTAACTTTGCCACTGTCATGCCACTGTATTTTATTCCAGTCCCAATGCTTCGATTCTTCATGTGATCCAAGTCCTGCATAGAAACAACACTCATCTGAATTGACAACTCATATTAGCCAGTGTGGCTTATCAACATTCTACTCCTTGTGCTTAGTTCTCTAATGAAAGTTGATAAATACTCTTGAATCCAGGTCTTTGAATGTTGTTTGAACTGTGGTTGTAATCTCTTTTCTCAGAACTACTTATTGTCTGCTCTGTAGTGAATTCTTTACTGTTATTTTTTTCATGCAAATCAATAATTATAGCACCATATCAGGTTTTCTAAAGCTCTAATAGTTGTAATAGAAAAGTTGCTGTTGCATGCTGGCTTAGACTGACAATCCAGTTTCTCCAGCATTCTGTGCAACCTCAAAGTTGTATGTATGATTGAGGCAGCATGCTTATAATTACCTCAACCACGTCTTGCACCCATTACACATAGGGGCTACATCTAATATTTTCCAGTTTTGCTTTGCCAAACGGATTTACTTGGTACTGTACGTACTGCTGCAAATGTTTTGAAACATAGCCTGTGTGTTGAAATGGACTTGATGTTTTAATTCTTGGGAAGTTAGAGATTGATGTTTCTTTTGATACATTCCCTTTTTACAAGATAAATTCCCTTTTTACAATACTGTCTTTGTTGCTATGTTCAGCACTATCATTCTTTATTAAAATCTGGGATAGTGCGGCTCATTTGGTTTGGGGATCATGCTGTTAAAACTATTACAGAGCCACATCTAAAGAACAATTACAACTAGATTCCCTACTTCTAAAATCATTTCAGACCATACAACAAATCTTGTGCACTTTTGCTTCGTAATTTTGGAGTCATACAGAGCGTAGGGCTAGATGCCCATGCTGGTTCATAAATTCACAGCTGAGTTCCAATTTAAAAAAAAAAAGTTATAATAACAAAAGCATTATAGTCAATAAAATATTTCTAAGAAAGATAATAAATTCCACTGTAGACAAATCAGGCTTTACGATTTAGGAATAAATTGCTTTCTGAAAGATTATAGTTGAATACTTCTTCATGGTTATAACAGAAAAAATAGACATTGAGGAGTTTGAAATCAACTGATTGGGTTGTGGTTTTGAAGTTCTTCAGCATTACTGTGTTGGCAGACCGATGTTCCAGCAGTTAATTGGTGCTTTAACACATTTGAAGTGCTCATTTATTTGTGTCATTCTAGACTATTAATACCAGGCAGTTTTGGGAGAAATTCCAGCTATTACTTACCTCAGTGTGCTGCAGCATGGCTGCAGACTTTCTGGATTCCCATCAACAAGGAACAACTTTGAAGAGGTGCAGCTGTGGCCCCTTCAGTTCTGTCAAATGGACTTTTTGTTGTTTTGTCTTGTTTTAATTAAAGATATTCTCAGACGAAGGTCATAACAACCACTCTTTGGGGTATGTATGGTGTTTGCTAGAACAACTAGTCCGTTTTAAAACAGTCTGTTTTTTTCAATCTGTCGAACTATATAGCTGTATCAGAGTGCCAGTTCATGTTAAGAACTAAATATTTTCAGTTTCCTTTCCTGAGAAGGAACAGCATAGGCTGTTGAACTAATTTTCATAGCTTAGCTCAGAAGCTGAAATCATAAAAAGGAAGAGCAGCTCAAAAGATGAATAAGAAACACCTCAAATCGTGTATGATAGCTGTGGCAGAGAAGCTTTGTTGAATGTTAGTGTGGTGACTGAAAAGAACTGCCTCAGCCTGCCCACATCAGGTTTTTGACATTCATTGGTTGCTATTGAAGTGCGGGCAATAGAACAGGACATGTTCTCGTAGTTTGTGTTGTGGCACTTTATTCTAAATCTGTTGGGTTTTGTTTGGTTTTTAAATTTGTGGCTTAAGTTTCCCTGCCGCACCATAAGACATCGTCACTGCAACTGTGAGTACAGCAGTATTTGTAGCTCCCATCTACCAAGGCCTTAAACCTGCCGCAGGGCTTTCCTGGCTAACAGCAAACCTGATGCTTCAGTGTTTGACACTACAGGAAGATAATTCAAGTAACAACGTGAAGTCATATTATGTATGCATTTCAGGGGAACAGAAGGGAATTGCAGTCCTGCTGGGTTTTAGTTTCCATTTTTTGATGTATTCTTTTACGTGGTGATAAGCATTCTAAAACTAGAGTGATTTAAAAATAGGGAATTAAAATTTGTTCCTGTTGTCATTTTATTATATACACTTTCATGTATGTATTTATACGTATTTGTCTTCTGAAAAGTGAAATATTAGTGAAAGGAGGACCCAGATACAAAATACAGGTTCTAAGCTGAGAGCATTATATCCTACAGGGTTGGACAAATTTTTTTGAAAACTCTTAGATTGTCTCTCAGAAACTAAAATCACCATGAAATTGGAAGTGAATTGCCTTAAAATGGTCTTTTTTTCCATTTTTTCCTGATGCTATGGTAGCGTACTGTGTTGCGCAGTACGTAAACTTTTCTGAAAGTTTCAAACACTCCTCCTCTTGAAATGTGAAAGACAGTGAGAATAGGTGGCACTTAAAGAAATTTGCATGAAGTGCAGATATTATTTTTAAATGCACTTTAATCAGATTATTAGAGGGTTTTTTCCTTGATGGACTGCTACAGTGGTGTTGTAAATTAAACCTTTGCTTAACTACGTACAAGGTGTTGGCCGCTCATATCATCTATGTGTTTTATTGAGGATTGAAGTTCATCACAACTGAAACAGGAACTGCAGTAATAATATATAGTTTTATGTCGCTGTCCTGACATTTTTGTAATTAGAAGGACATCCCCTTCAGCTGTCGGAATCAGTTATATTTCTTTTGATTGTGAAATGCTAAAGAGAGAATAGTTTTGTTACCACATTGCTTTCATTTGTGCCTGGAGAGGAAGTTTATTTTGCAGCTAGGAATGTTCGAGGATGTTTGCAAGGCGTCTTGTTGTAAATACGGCCTGACCATAGGACAACCTGCCTTCCCTCATGGCAAACACCATTGCTGTGGTCGCGTCCAGGCTCAGCGTGGCAGCTCGGAGGCGGCCTGTCCGAAGCGGACCCCGTGGCTGCCAGCGCCCGAGCGCTTTGTTGCTTCATTAGGGAGAAGTCAGAGATGTGTGAAAAGTAGGGCACGGGTCGGAGGCTGCGTGCCCCTTCCCCGCCGCAATTGAAGTGACAGACACCTCCCGGCTCTGCCGCTAATTTCCCTCCATGGCAAATGCCTCTGAAGCACTAATTAAAATGAAAAGTTCTCGGGTCTCACCAGCAGACAGATTGAGTTATTTATGGTGGAAGCGGCCACCAGCAGTAATTGCAGCACATCCTTGCACAAATGCAAGTGTTTGCATTCATGAGCAGCGCCAGGCTGACAGGGGTCAGGGGGTCAGGCCCACCGAAACAAGAGGCCGGAGAGAGGCAGAATCGGGGTTCTCCTCCTCCTCCTCCTGCAAAACTGCTCTTGTTTCTCTTAACTGTTTAGGTGCGTGAGCTGCTTTGTAGTCCTTTGAGGCCTAATTACGCTTCCTTTGTTAATCACTGTAAAAAGTTTATTAAGCAGAACGTGACCACGAATGAGTAGTATTTGACCACTGTGGTTCAAAGAAGTAATTTTTTTTTTCAATTTGACTGTCTTATCTGTGTGCTTGTCCGCTGAATGAGAACAACTCCGTTTAATTTCAGAGCAAATTATGTGCACACATGATAGTGTAATATTTTGGGAATTGGGGTTATATACATGAAACTGGAAAGATACCAGGACTTTGAATTGCAGTTAACATTATTAACAAATTTTTGTTGATGCTGTGGATTGGACTAACTTTGTCTTCTCCAGCAAACACTATATAACATGCTAGTTTCCAAGAAGAGGGATTAGAATACAATTGATACTAAATAAAATTTATTCTTTATTGTTCGATGTTAAATGTTACTCAGTTTGTTTGTTTTTTTTTTGTCTTCTGAAATAGTACAAAATCTTTAAAGTAAAATTGTAAGTAAATTACTTAACTAAGTATTTTAGTACAAATTTGGTTTTCATCCAGCTGAGAGGCTGGGTTTTTGTTGCTATGATCTTTGCAAGCATTTTTCAGCTGGAAGCAAAATGTGTTGTTCTTTTAGAAAATAACCCTGCTGAATTCTTCCTTATGAAAAATAATGAGTATGAACTTTAATTCATGTAAAGGAAATGGGTTTTAAACATTAACTTTTGCACATTAATCTATTAAATGTTACCTATGTTAGCTGTATAAAAGTCTAAAATACATGGCTGTACCTAGTGAGTTAACAAATCTAACAATTTCGATCTGAATATTAAAAAAAATGCTGTGGATCTGGTTGTTACCAAGTATATTTCAGGGTAAAAACAACTAATGTTTTCAATTATTAATCTTAATAAATATATGCCTTTTTAATTACTTGAGCAACCTAGTAATGCTCAATGCAGTGAAGTATCATGAGTTTTTTTCCCTATTTTCAGAAATGCAAGTAATGACTTAACATTTTGCTTTACTGTGTCTTTCAGGAAACAGACTTCGAAAAGTTGCAAAATCATCTTTGCAGTCAAGCACCAAATCTGGTATTAGGCTTCACCGAACAGACTAAGCTCAACGTTTGTCAAGCAGAAGGGCCACTGCCTTGCACAGGAAGGATTAGAAGTGAACAATGACTCGACTAAGAGTTTGTGAGCGATTGCTTGGAGCCTACCTGCTTATCATTTTACATGTTCAAGGTAAATATCTGCTAGCTGCAATAAATGCATTTCTATAACTGAAGAATATGTGTATTCCAGTGGCTTTTTTGTTTGTTTGTTTGTTTTTTGTTTGGTTGGTTGTTTTAGTAATGAACTGTTTAAACACCAGGACCAGTTTTTTCCAGTCAGGTGGCTTATCTGCCTGACATGCCATGCAGAAGCTTGACAAAAAAAAGGAGCATTATAGTATGGTGGTCATATGTTATTCTAGGGTAGATCATGGAGTAAGTCTAGTTTAGCAAATGCTTGAGTAGTTACCAGAAATATGTAGTACTCTCTAGAGCAACTTATGTGAGCATCAGATCTGAGGAAATTCTGTGGTGCATAATTCCTTCTGAATTGCAATTTCCTGTAACTGTCTGACCCTTTTATACTTGACCCACTGAAGAAATTGCAGCGTGGAAGTCTCTATGCCTTCTAACATTCCCAGCACCTTGGATGGTGTGGCATTAAGTAATCTAAATGAATTGCTTCTCCTTATTAATTGGATGAAGTGGGACTACATAGTGGTCATTAAGAGCCTGGTTTTAGTTTGTGAAAATACTCGTTTGTGAGTCTGTTGATCACTGCTTATCAAAAAAAAAAAAAAAAATCTGGACATACAGTTGTCATTAGGTCTCCTGGTCCTTTCTCAAACTGGGTTAAATTAAAATGTATTTGGAGTAGACAGACCAAAGTAGCTGTCACCTTGTTCTGACTCTATATGGAATTGAAGCTTAAGTATAAAGGCTATAAGTAGTTCTGTGTGGAGAAAAAAATAAACTGCCTGTACTGTACTGTTCTGATGGGTGCGAAGAGAATACCACTAGTGGTTGTTAGGATGGTGTCAGTGAATCCATTTTATTAACATGTATCTGGGAATTGCCGCAGCTGCTAACTTAGGTGAGGAGAAGCACTTACACAGATTACCAGACTTTATCAAGCAGTAAATATAAATGAAATTTCAAATTAACAATGGAAATCTCTTATTCTACCCATGTTGAGCCTAGCTTTTGGTGAGGGTGCAGTTGGACTAGACTGACATGAAAGATTGTTACCTGGAATTGACTGAGAGAGCTGGTCAGCTATACAAAGAATAAATGATGAGCACTTCTGTGCAAGGCAGATTATCTGTCAGCTTGTTCTGGTATCATCCCACTCACATTCACAGCTAAATTTCTATGGAACACAAGTCCTCTCTCTGGATCTGTGCAGAATTGCAGTTTGTTAAAGATATTTAAAGCTGCATTTCTTTTTGGCTGTGTTTGCACACATTTCAAGACTGGGGAAGAGCATGGGTATTGATTTGAAGCTTTGTGATTGTAGCAAAGATTTCAAGGTTGAAGGCAGCAGTACAAATAAACATGAATCTGAGTCGTGGCTACATTAAGTTGGGAGAGGGAAATCCTCAATACTAGTCCCTCATCCCATTGTGAACGTGCAATCTTTAGTTAGCAAGAAATAGCTCAGTCTATTTAGACAGAAATAGCATAGTTTAAGTATAGTTGAAAATAGGATTTACAGATATTCAGAGATAGCTCTGTGGTAATTTTAGTGGTAACGAGAACAAATCACAATAAATGAAATTTGGGTAAGAAATTGGAGGGTGGGAGCAAACGCACAGTGAATGTGAACAAGCATAGAACAGGCTGCCTGAGAACTTGTCACACGTGTCCTTAGAGCTGTCCAGAACTTGATTGGAATGACTGAGCAACCTGGTCTAACTTCCAGGATGGTCCTTCTTTGACCGGGGGTGTGGTACCAGGTGCCTTCTGGAGGTCTCTTCCATGCTAGGTTGTTTTCAGACTTAGCAATTTGCAGTAGAGCTTGTTTCATCAGTCACTTTTGCTACTTCTTGCAGGAGATACCAGCTTCTCCCAGTGAAGAAGCTGGAAATTTGTTTTGTGCTTAATACTGAAATTGTTTCCTGTTAGCATAGTCAATACTTGGTATTTTACTCCAGGTGGGAGCAACTGAAGGAGCAAAATTGTTTCTCTCTTATCTCTGAAATAGAAGTAAGATAAATATGTAGGTCTTACAGTGACTTACAATTAAACTAGATTAATTCTTTGTTTTAACAACGCTTCAATGTGTACCTTCTAATGTATATTACAATAATAAATTTCACTAAATTAAGTTGAAATACACTGGGAAACATAAATAAAATTTCAGCTTCTAAAGAAGGAATTACTCTTAAGAATATCCCTGACTTTCAAATCAATACTGAGCAAGTTCTGAAAGCCCTGGGAAAGTTGAGCTAGCTGAAATGTTGTTTCTTTGATGCAACTTGCCTAAGGGCTTGTCTTCAAACACATGAAATATGTTTGGTTTCTAGGGGTGGCAAGAAAAAGTCGTCTCTCCGCTTTTTGTTGCATTCTTGGAGGAGTTGTGTTTGGGGGTGTGTGTGAAAGTTGATAGTTATCAAGTATTTGAAATTTTCATAGGAAAGGAAATCTAATGTGAAAAGAACAGTGTCGACAGGGAAGGTATTTGCAAGATGTTGCAAACATGCATCAGCGTACATATAGAAACCAGCAGAGGTAGAGAACACACAATAGGAGGAATCAAAGAGAATCTGTGTAACTTACAGAAAGAGGAGAGAAGAAGGGAGACAAGGAAACATGGAGAACATGTGCTTTCAGGGAGTGGTACCAAGGTTTGCTCGCTCAGTTGTGTTGGAGGCTGCTTCAGAACTGTGGGGGCTTCAGGGCTTACTGAGACGATAGATAACAAATGTCTGTATACGTGCAAGTATATGTACACACATTCCTTAATAGGTAACTTCTAAAAAAACAAGTGGTTGCATGTGTTGATTGATGTGAAAATATTCTTCCGGCAAGAGCAGAAAGCAGGCAAGTCCATGAAATTACTGGGGAGCAGCTGCTGCTTGGCTGTTGGTACTAAGGAGCAGGGGAACACAGCGGTCACCTTTTGGACTGGGTCCTCTTTTCAGCTTATGGGACACTGCCCTGGTTTCTGTCAGTAGAGAAATGAACAAAAATGAATCTGGATGGCAGATAACTAAGTTGAGTAACAGCTGTTAAAAAACAAAATGCAAAAAAACATTGTTGTATTTCCTTTCTCATTGTGGAAGGCTTTTGCAATATCTTCAGGCTTGTGATTTGTTCTGCACTCACTACTGCTTTACATAGTCACCCACCTACCTCTGCTCATCTAAGGCTAGAGCTCGTCAGCTTCAACGGCAATTAAGTACTGTGGTAAATACACTTTTGTCTTACCACTAGTGCAGGTTTTCAGTTCAGAGAACCAGTTATACTTCAGAGCAGCATTCTTTGTTTTTACAGTGCACTGATGAGCAGAGCTAATCAATATGTGTAATGGAGTGGTCAAGTAGCTTCAAATATAATTAAACGTGTTTTATGTTTTGCACTTTGATACAGTATCCTGACAGTACGAGGTAATATTACATATGTAGATCATCATGTTGTTGTGTGTCCTTTAGACATGCTGCAGGAGACCAGTATTTTAATCCTTTTAAATGAGTTACAAAGAAGTATTAATCGCATTCAATATGCATGAAGAAGTTTATTAGAAGTTAAATTTTCAAGTAGTATTAATATTAAATATTAAAAGACTTGTTAAAGTTGGTATTGTCCATTAGTGAGCTGAAAATAAATCTGTTGAGGCTTGTTTCAGTATTGTACCTCTTTTTAGGTAAAGATTTGATACAAAAAATCAGTTAAATTTTATGCACTTCTTGAATTTCAGGTGGAATAGTTTAAGTTCAGTAATTAATCTGGGAAAAAAAAAATCCAAAATCTGCAAAAGGTATTTAGAGTTTTCAGAAGCTGATATTTTGTTGAAAAGTATTGTACTTCTGTTTACCAATGGTTTCCCCAATTAATGGCCACATCTATCTTTAAAGCATTGGCAACAAACTTGTTAAATTATTATAAATGAAAATTTGTAAATTATTGTTAAATATTTGGCTTATTAAGTTACTTTAATGAATTACCAAGAGATTATATATTTCTATATTGTAATCTGAATGATAGTTTTGAGTAACTTTATTCTTTAAAAATACATTTAATGTAAATTAAAATGCAGTATATATATTTTTTAAAGTAAATTATAAAGAAAATCTTGTTTATGTCTCTTGTATTTAAAGCACAAGAGCAGCAAACATTCTTTAGAAATGACATTTCAGGGAAGTAAGACCAGAGGCCAGGGTTTGCTGGGCTACCTCTCAGTGATGAGCACCACGATGTAACTCCTGGGGTAGCTGGAGGGTGGCAGTGAAAAGGTTTTAAACAAGTAGGCTGGGAACTTGCTGGAACTTTTGGTCCTTTTTTTTTTTATTTTTTTTTTTTTCCCTAGGAACCAGTTCTGCTAGATGGAGCTAACTCTAACGTGCCTGGTCTTTAGAGATCATAGGCTTGATATATTTAAAAGAAAAAAAAAAAAAAAAAAGCACTATGTGAACAATTAGGGTAAAAATGCCAGACGCAGAGCTAATAGAAGTACTGAAGATGTTTCCTTTGTACCCATAAACCTCATTTTTGTGTTGTTTTTCTTTACTAGTGTTTTTAATGGAAAGCACTGATATTTTCTTCAAGCTGTGTCAGTTATGCTAAGGTTTAATTCATATAGCAGTAAATGGTAAATCATTGTGAAAGCTGTTATAGGCAGAAAGGTGACAAGTCCTTGTTGTAGTAGATGATATGCAGCATCTGCATTGTGAAGCAAGGAAGAAGTAATTTAAAACTGCCACCAGTCCTTCCTAACATAAAAAAGGTTTAGATTAGTGGAGTTCTTCAAGGATAAATGCCATTTAAGGATAATTTATTTTGCAATCAAAATGTTTTTATATATGTCTATATTAATTTTGTTAAACAAATCAGGGGAAAACTTATGAATTCAGAAAGCTGTTGAAGAACTTGACTGCTGTAGGCTACTGGTTTTAGCCTTACAACTTTATTTGTGGAGATAGAGGTGATATAGTTGAATAAGAAATTATAGGCATAATTTTGGCTTTGTATTGCTGTCTTCCGCTTTTTGCCCTCTATGTTTCTTAACTGTTTTTTGTGTTAAACCTTGTCTTAGATCAGAAGACTTGGTCAAATGACTTATGCATCCTGGCATTGAATAGCAGCTCAGTTCACAGTGGCTAATAGCAATTCACTGTCTTGTTCAATACCTTTTTAGGATTATCCATATTCATATTAGTAGTTGAAGATTTGAAATACATTTCCAGCCTAGTGTGGTTTTTCGTATATACTGTATTTTCTTAACATATGTTTGCAGTCTAACATTGTTCTAAGATTGGAATAAGAAGTGTTGTGGATAATTGATGTTTTTGATCAACGGCTGAGTATGATACATTGGTAGGTTTTATTTAAAAACAAACTGGTTATATTTAAAGAAGTTTAGTGGAAGTTTAGTGCTGAAGTCATTTTAACATCTTCCTGTCTGCAGCAGTTGCTCACATTTTTCTTCTAGAAATCTGTTAGAAGCAGTGCACGTGAGACACTGTCGTGATGGTCTGGAGCAAGTGACACTGAAGTTCCATCAGCTTCTCTTTCTCTGGCACTGTGGTTGCACAAAAAGAGAATGCTCCAACTCACACTGATATTTGAGTGTTGTAAGTTTTAGCAATGGGATAAAACATCTACTGTATGGGAATTCCTATTTTAAAAGATAAATGATGGAAGTATTCTCAAGGGTGGACAAACAGGCTGAAATTGGTCCTCAGTCATGATCAAGTTCTCCAACGCATGACTTTTAATGTGCTACTAATGTATATTGCTTAGCTCCACCAGGCTTTTGCAATTTATGGGCAAAGGGTAGGAAATAATGCGGAAAGGAGCTTTGCTATGCCTGAAGTCTCTGGTTACTTTTTTTTTGAAGTGTTGTGTATTAACTTGTAACTTAGAGCCTCTTAGTTTTGTAAGGTTTGTGTGTTTCTTAGCTCATCCATAGGACTGACAGCTGCACGTGTAGTAGAAAAGAAGCCATTAACTATATTGTCAAGGTGCTTCACAAGACATCTAAAATGTAATTGTCCATCTCTGTCTTCTGCTACCCAGAGGAAGATAAAGCAGAGTGAATGTTTGACAGACAGAGCTTTAAAGTGTGGCAATAACAAGAGCACTGGCACAACACTGCCACATGATTCCTGAAGCAAAATGTTATTTATTATATCCTTCATTCACACTTGCTTGTTTACTCAGTATCTGTTAACCAGGAAAAAAAGGCAATGAAACACCTTTGTGCCCCCATTTGGGTCGTGGTCTGCCCCTTTCACGTTTCAGTTGAATGGGAGCCAAATGATTATCCCCATTCATCTCCTCAGACCTACCATCTTGAAGATGGGCACTAATCACACTTGAAATGGGGTATTGATTTTTCATAAAACTTGCAATGCAAGTCATCCTATAGAATTAAGAGGAAAAATTAATTTCATCTTAACATGTACTGTTAAAGGGTGGTATATATGTAGTCATGCTGCAGTGTTAGTTTAAGAATAATATTGCTTGAAAAATGCCAGGCTGGTCATAAAATAAAAATGTTAGATGGTACCTTTGCACTGGCAGTGAATAATAAAAGTTGTGCTTTACAGATTTTTCTGTCACCAATCCTGGAGAATGATTTAGGCTATGTTAGCCTGGATCTATTGCAAACTGCAGTTCAGTATTTTATTTTTTCTCCCCTGAGCTAGGAGAAGCCATGCAATAAGGGTTCCTTGATAGTTTCTTCTAACAAATTGAGAAAATGCATTTCATGTTCAGGTTAGGAAGATGAATGAGCGACTTTGAGATGTAGATCATAAAGTATGCGGGCCTTTAACATCTGGAATGTCCCTGAAGTTAAAGTGTTGGGTTTTTTTGTTTGTTTATTTGTTTGTTTTTTACAATATTAACTATTTAGTTCCTAAATCAAGGAAAGATACTTTAGTAGTTCAACAGAATTAGAAGGCAAGATAATATTTGTACATAGGCAGTGGCTTTTCCTTTAAGTAAATATTAAGTGGAATTACCTGTTCTCTGAGCAAGTAAGGAGCTCTTAAATGTGAAAACAATGTTGTATAATGTCTGCAGCACAGTATTAAAATGAGCTTTTCAGTTTTTGCTGGGAAGAAAACTAGGCAGACATTGGAGAAGTTGCCATTTCATACACGAAAATTTTCTTTTTATTAAATTGGAAATACCTATCACATGGGTAAACTTGATGTGAAGTTAACAAGAAGGTCTAGTGTGAAAAACAACTTGCGCATATTAGAGATATTTAACTCGGATAATGCTGAAATACTGTTTGAAAACTACATTTCAAATAAAACACGGCTTAGTGGTTTGAGCGTTTAGGTAAATTAGGATGTACTCTTAATTATATCTGAAGGAGACACAATGTACTTTCAGGGAAACGGCTGAATCAGGACAGTGCACTGGGTGTGCTGTATTAGAAAATTAGAAAAAAGAAAAATGATCGAATTTCACAAATATTGAATTGCACATTTGGCTGCATGACAGAGCAGATGTTAGAACAGACTCATGCAGAAGGTGATAGCTGTACAAGTTTTTCATCTTTTCTGCAAGTCTTCCAGACAAGGTGCAGCATTAGGGTAATATTTTTATTACAGCTAGTGTTCAGTGGGTTTGACAAGAAGATGCAAAAATCTGTTAAAAGAGACTATGAAAGTACTCCAAAATACCTTCTATTCTTAGATAAATTGAAAGTTGTCATTGTAGCAAATCTTTTTGAGAGGTATTGAGGTACCTGTACTTGCTGAATTAATAACTGAATTCTTGAAAGCTTCCACAGTCCCAAGTGGCTGTTCTTTCCTCTTGCATGCTACGCATCCCACAGAGACTGACTATAAATTTTGTCAGTGCAGGTGACAGGCTGTTCCACTACTCTTCTGACTTTATTTGGCTCACACTTTGGGGACTTCAAGTACTAAGAATACTGTTAGGAAATGAATAGAAAGAGTTTTTTTGTCAGAGGTTTTTTGTCATTTTGTCAATGACATTATGTGCGATAAAACTGGAAGAAATGGGTGAAGATAATCTCATCTCTCATAGTGGTCACAAAGCATCTTCCAAAGGAGGCAGTTAATGTTCTTTTTTTTTTTTTCTGGATGTTCTTGCCTCAGAAGAAGACAGATGGTATTTTTCTTATGAATGCCTACATTCAGAAAAGCACTTTAATAATATGAACTAGAATATATGATGCTCAAGTCTACTAATGTTGAGAAATTGAAGGCTACGTGGAACATTATTTAGCCCTATTTTTATTCTCTGAAAGCTCATTTGTGTGGATGTTCATGTCATTTACTGAAATTTAATTTGCAAACAAGATTTACTTTAGCTCTGTTTTGAAGTACTAATGCATACAGAGATCAAAAAACCCAAGAGATTTTGGAGTTATTACTACTCTTCTGTGAGACTGTGAATCCATAAAAAATGACTTCAGTTTAGAGAATTACAAAATTGCATATTAAGTATGTTCGGTCATGCATAAAATTAGACTGTTGTGGTTAACCAGCGGCCAGCATTTTGGTTTTCTGAGCAGAGGAACGAGAAGGGCTTTCTTCAGAAAATTGGTACCAGTCTTGTATCACTACTTTTTTTGCCCCATCTCAAAAAAAGGAAAAATATCCTTTCTGTTTATATTGATTATGGCTGGAAGATCTACTACTAACATAGAAAATATGATCTAGATAGTTCTAGAGTAACGTTATTAACGTGAATTTCTACTGTAATCTCAGGGAAGTTCTGATACCTTGCATAATTACTTGATAATAAAATTATTCCTTTGTTGTGGTGGTTTTTTTTCCTCTGAAGTTCCTAAGTAATTATCAGAGATGCAGAAATGAATTTAAAAAAATAATAAAATATTTCTATTTTTTTAAATGTCCAGGACAAAATCTAGACAGCATGCTGCATGGCACAGGAATGAAGACAAATCCTGACCAGAAGAAACAAGCAAATGGGGTAACACTTGCTCCAGAAGACACCTTACCATTTCTTAAGTGCTACTGCTCAGGACATTGTCCAGATGATGCTATTAATAACACGTGCATGTAAGTACTGAATACAGGAGAGAATGAGCTCTTGGAAGAAGCTTTTTGCTCATGAGAGCACAAAGTATCTCTGGTGTGCTGACTTAGGTTCTCTTGGGTGATTTGATTGTACTTGATCAGAAACTGACTAGTTCTGTGGAAAGCTGAGAGTTAAAATCCGCAATCATCTGTATGTAAACAATAACCGGATCTTAGCATCATTTGCAACCAGCCATTTTGCCCCCAGCAGCTGCTTTGAAGGACTAAGGTTTTAGTGACCCATATGTAGCATTTTGTAACTGGGTGAGTATTAAATGACCCAAATCTACACCTTCTGATACAACCACATGCTTGTTTATATTTCTAATATATCTTCACATAGAATTCAGAAGATAATACTATTTTTTTACATAGCCATTTGCTGAGAATTGTTATGTGTATGTTATTTGTAGAGGTGAGTGAGGGAAAGGCAGGGAGGGAGTCTCTGAACATAGGATATCTGGGTAGCTTTTAACTTGGATAGGCATAGGTATCTTATGAATCTTTTGTACTGATTATCTGTCTCTATAAGGTGTTTTTACTTTTATGTCCTGAAATGTCCCTTTTTCCCTTTCATTTTTTCTTCATTCACCATGTTCCATTTTTAAGGCCCCTCTCTTTTCTTCCTTAAGAATTAACCCAAAGGTATGTAACAGAAAGCGTATCGCTTTCTGATGTCACTTCTAATCGCTTTCTAACTACTTGAAACCATATTAACTATCTAAAACTGTCATTTGGCATATAGTTTTTGTGGAACCTAAGGAGCTGGAACAAACACTGACAACATGTTTTGAAATGCAAATACAGGCAGTATTTTCCAAACATAACTCTACACCTAGAAAATTGTCAGATATTACCCAGTATTTTGTCTTAAAATTTCCTTTTGATAATTATTTTTTGCTTTTTATCGCCCTCTAGTGTGTAAAGTTGGGGTAACCCTTATTTTTTTTTGCCTCAGAAGTGGCTAATGGCAATATGAATGATTATTCTGAAATAAAGCTGTTAAAGAATTAGTAATGCATATGCAGTGAATATATGCAGGATACTTTATGGAATTATATTTCTCAAATCAGAGTGTCTTTAATTAAACAATCTTTTTGGGAAACAAAAGTATTTGGGGTTTTGTTTCCTTTAATGTCTGTGGTGAGGTAGTGAATGAATTTTGACCTTATAAAATCTTAAATTTATAAGTGTGTTAAGCACGGGCTTTGGGAATTGCTTTGGTATTACTTAAAAATATCATTGAGGTTTTCATATGCTGTTGAAATCAAAAACATGCCTTTTTTTTGTTAATAAATTTTATTCATGGCTGTCAGCTTCAGAAAGTGACTGTGGGTGTTCTGTTCAGAGTTGTTTGTTGTTTGCTTTCTAGTGTTTTTTGTTTTGTTTTGTTTTTTAATGTAGGTTGTTGCACCTTTTAAATAAAGATAACCAATTTTCACATATTGGGACTTTCTTTTCCATCATTGCAGCTTATCGTTATCATTGCAGCTTCAAGAACAGACTCAAGGGAAATGTTGGGCTCCTTCATTTGTTTTATCCTATGCTATCGTAAATCAATAAGCCGATTTGGTCCCATCTCCACTCACGCACCCACCTCAGTTGTTTCTGAACTAACTCTTTGTGTGGTTGGTTACCGGCAATCTGGAAGTGATGGGGGTAGGGAGGGAGAGTAGTAAAGGCAGAAACTTGGTAGAAAACATCCCTGCAGTGTTTGATTTGAAAATAAGTGTTGGAGTATGTGTTTGATCTCAAACTGTATGGCAACCACTGTGTTACAAAACGTTTTTTTAGATACCACAGTTTCAGTATTTTTAATAAGTTCATAGTAATTTCTAATGCTGCATGTAAAACACCAAACAGAATGGTAAAGCACAGTTGATCTGTTTATTCCAGAACTAATGGGCATTGCTTTGCTATTGTTGAGGAAGATGAACATGGGGAACCAACGCTTGCTTCTGGTTGCATGAAGTATGAAGGTTCAGACTTCCAGTGCAAGGTAAATGGGTAAAATGGGACGTCATTAAGATCCAAGATCTCCTTGAAGATAATGCAGGGAAACTGCATAAGCAACATATAAATCTCCATAGCTTGACTGCCAGCATAGAGTTTTGCATTTTGCTCTTTGCTATTGAGGAGAATATTACTGGAGTGAATAGTCATGGGTGAGCAGTGATAGAAAGGGCTCTTGATGGTGCTTGAGCAAAGATTGGAGTAGAATCCTGACTTGATGGAGTTCTCTGGAAACATTTGCAAGTCACTGACAAAATGAAGAGAGGACAGCAACCTTTTATTTCTGTCAGCTGTTGAAGAGACAACTTCACAATAAATCTAATTGATCCAAGGAGCTTAAGTTTTGATTTGTGGTTCATCAATTGTTTTAATTAGTAATCTTTTATATATTGTTTTATCAAGATGTTTTCGAAGCAAACAGTGCTGCTGTGATGAATGCAAGATAAAAACTTGTAAAAGAGTTGTTTTTTCTGTGTTAAAAGCAGTATTTATTTAATGTACAATTAACTGCTTTTAGCCAACCTTAAAAATTCTGCTGTGTATGAATTAGCCAGTTAAACCACAAGTGTCTTTTTGTGCACTAACATGAAAAATAAAAAAATGCAAACACAGAACTTATGCAACCAAAAAGGTTGGATGGTGCGTGTCTGCCAGTGTGAAGACACCACATACCATATATTAAATGGTGAGGTGGAACTTTTTTTTTTTTTTTGAAATAGAATGACCTAAACCTTTGTATCTGATGTTATATCTGTAGCATCTCCAGTGTCTGTCCTAGTAAATCACTTCAGAATCTGAATGTTTATTCAATTCTCCTTCAACAGGATTCACCAAAAGCACAGTTACGTCGGACAATTGAGTGCTGTAGGACTGACTTCTGCAATCAGGATTTACAACCAACTTTACCACCACTTGATAGCACAGGTAAACAGCTCCTAAGCATTCATACTGCTGCTTATGCTATTTAGGTTGTCTTCCTGATCAACAGATTAAAAATAAGGAGAAAATGTAATGTAATTACATGTATTGTAGTAATGTTTTTTCCTTACTAAGTCATTTTGATGTGAAGCTCAGAACTATGCTGCATACTCTTTCTCAGTTTTCTGCCACTTGAAATGAGGTTTTCCTCCACAGTCACTTACAGTACATTTACTCCATTCACTCATTCACTCTTGATCTGCATGTGATCTTCTGATCTGCTTATTTACACTGATGAATTTCTTCTGAGCCTTCTCTGAGCTGAGCTGAACGGTCCCAGCTCTCTCAGCCTTTCCTTTAGGAGAGGTGCTCCAGTCCCCTTCATCAACTTCATGACACTGTGCTGGACTGTCACCAGTATGTCCATGTCTCTCTTGTGGTTGGGAGCCTGAAACCAGGCACAGTGCTCGAGGTATGACAAGTGCTGGACAGAGGGCAAGGGTCACCTCCCTTGACCTGCTGGCAGTGCAGCCTATGATACAGTGCCTTTTTTGTGGCAAAGGCACATAGCAAGCTAATGTATGTTTATGAAGTTTGGAGTAATTCATCACTCACTGTTTTCTAAGCTCTTTGTGTGTTTGTTTTCTTTCATTACCTTATAACGATCAGTGACAGTGATACAGCCATTCTTTGTGGCTTTTGTGATCTGTTTTCCCAAAGAAAATTTTGCAGTCACTGATGACAAGCTACTAAGCTTATATATTAAATGGAAGTATAACATAATGAATCATGATTTAATCTTAAAATACTTGGTCAGTATATGGACTGTGATTCCTGTGTTTAAAAAATGAATAAATTAATGTGACAAGTGGATAGATGAACTTCATGTTCTTGAGGTAGATTTGTCATCTCCCTTTTTTTCTATCACACAACTGCTTTTAATAACATTTAAAAGTCTGGGGAAGCAGATGAATTTTAGAGAATCCGGAACACTGTGAAACTTGCAATATATGAATTCTGTAATATCTCATGTGTGAGCTGGGACACCAGATTCTACTTAACTGTTCTTCCGTTTAAATGAATTCCTGTTATATATTGTTGTCTCTAATAAGCGTTTCCATTGGGATGACAGTATGGATTCCTAGAACATGTCTAATAGCAAATGAGTAGTTCTTAGAGACTAGCAAGCTCTACTTAATAATTTGCCAGTATAAACGTCTTGAACGTTGGCAGTTAAGAGTTTACATAGGGGACCCTAGGTGCATGTTTTAGATAAGCTATGTTTACACCACATGTTTAATTGATAGACTGCATTGGAAACTTTTTTTTTTTTTCAACAGATGGACTCTTTGATGGCAGCATTCGTTGGATGGCAGTGTTGATTTCTATGGCAGTCTGCATAATTGTCATGATCATCTTATTTAGCTGTTTTTGTTACAAGTAAGGAAAGCTCTTCCTTTATTAGTGACATTTTTCATTTCCTAAGTGATGGTAAACAAAATAGGTTGGAGGTAAAACTATTGCAATTAAATTTCATGTCTATGTGGATACAAGTTTGCATTTTTAGGTTAAAATTAAACATTCAGAGCATAGAATTTAGATGGATGTGGTCCTTTACACTAGATAACAAGGTCATTGCAGTTTTCTAAGCTATGTATAACTTTACTGTAGTATCTACAGCATCCACTTAACAGGAGTATGTCGAATAATATTTGTATATTTGGATCTTTTTCAGTGATTTATCAAAATCACTTTTGATACCAAAACTTGATCTACTTCTGAGATTTACCTGTATATTCTGTTTTTGCAAACGTTAAACAGCAAGGATGTATTTTCTAACTTCTGCTGTGTTTATAAAATTGACTGCCTGCTCTGTATGGTATCTATGGTAGTTCATACAAGTGCAGTTTAATAGACTGTGCCTGCTTCTGTCTGCTCCACCCCTGTGCTGGAGCTTAGCATTATTCTGGCAGCTTCAGCAGCAATGTCCATGTGTCAGCCTCGTTTGCTGTGGTTCAAGGTTCAGTCCTTTCATGTAATCCAAAACCAGTGGCGGGTTACATTAGTAACACTGGCTGTGAGCTGCATGTTAAAAATGCTACTTTTCTACATGACTCACAATAAATTGATGTGCTCTCCATGAATTGCAACAATTTTTTTTATATTAAAAAGAACCTCTCTAGCTCATTTTTGGATAAAATTGTACAGCAAAATCTGCTTTTCTTAAGAAAAGTTGTGCATTTGAATGGGGAAAAAAGCTATTTAATATACTGCATACTTCAAGTGTTTTGGAGCTCAACTTTACTTCTACCATTAATATTTGCAGGCATTATTGTAAGTCAATGGCAAAGAGGCACTGTTATAATCGTGACCTGGAACAAGATGAAGCATTTATTCCAGCTGGGGAGTCATTAAAAGACCTTATTGACCAGTCACAGAGTTCTGGCAGTGGATCAGGACTACCGTTGCTGGTAAATTATAAACTAAGATTTTCTTCACTGAATTTCTCTCCATTAAATAAAAAGTTTGGGTCTGTACCTAATGCCTAGAGTAAAGCAGTTCATCCTTTAATTATTTTTAATATTCAATTACTGTGGAACATACAGTACAAACTGAATAAGTTTGGGAACCTGTCTTCACTTAGTTAACTAAAGCAAAGTACAAAATTAGATTATTTGTGGGATCTCTCGACATCAGCAAAGCACAAAGAAAAATTAGAGCCTTAAAAACATTAAGATGTAAATGTATTGAATGGTTAACACAAGTATGTAATTCAGGGAACTCAAAAGATTTTTTTTAAATGTTTACCTTTTCATAAAATATACATGCATTTTATTGGTTTGTGGTTGTTCGTATTTTCTGATTCAGTGTCACGTTTAATACTTCTATGAAGATTTAGCAAGTGACATGGATGATAAATTTATAATCTAGAAATAGAATGCAAGAGAATGCATCTTATTTAAATAGGAAATTGAATTCATATCTTTGTAGTTTGTTATACAATTCTTCCCTAGATACAGTAATTTTGGAATGAGAATATTGGAAAATAGTACAGAACAATTTTTCCAGCAGAATCAAAATTCAAAGCAATTGGGGCTTGACAAGCAGCTTGCCCGTATCTGTTTGTTTAGCTGCTTGATATTCTTCTTCTCCCTGCCACTTCCGTTCCTTTTTTTTTTTTTGTAGGTTCAGCGCACCATTGCCAAACAAATCCAGATGGTGAGGCAAGTTGGAAAAGGACGATACGGTGAGGTGTGGATGGGCAAATGGAGGGGTGAAAAAGTTGCAGTCAAAGTCTTTTTCACCACAGAAGAAGCCAGTTGGTTCCGAGAAACAGAGATTTACCAAACCGTTCTAATGCGTCATGAAAACATCCTTGGTAAGGAAGCAATGTGTTGTTTGTTTGGCAGGCTTGTGTTAGGGTGAAGGAGGAAGAGCTTTTAATGAATGGGATGAGGAGCATATGGCTTCTGCTGTGGAATAATCAGTAAAATGTTATAGAAATAGTGAAAATATAGAACTAATAACCAGTAATATGTTATAGAAATAATAGATTCTTGCTGCTCTTGGTTGGAAACATGCGTCTGCTATCTCTGTGCTGGTGACCTCGTTTAGGTGAAATCTTAACTCTTTGTGTCACTAGTTTTCATAAGGGGAATGGGTACCTTTTGGTACAGTCCTAGACAATACATTTTTAAGAATTCTTACCAAATCTGTTGAATAAAGAACTCACATGCAAATAAATTGTAACCTTATTTATATATTTGATAGGTTTTATAGCTGCAGATATTAAAGGAACCGGATCCTGGACACAGCTTTACTTGATTACAGATTATCATGAAAATGGATCACTCTATGATTTTCTGAAATGCACTACACTAGATAACAGGGCTCTCCTCAAACTGGCATATTCTGCTGCGTGTGGTCTGTGCCATCTACACACAGAAATATATGGGACACAAGGCAAGCCTGCTATTGCACACAGGGACCTAAAGAGTAAAAACATCTTGATAAAGAAAAATGGAACCTGCTGTATTGCTGACTTGGGTCTTGCAGTCAAGTTTAACAGGTAAATAGGCAAATCCTGTATAAATGGGAAAAAAATTATTTTATACATTATTTTTAATACACCAGATATCCAGTTTAAAATTGAGACTGAGTCATTCGGTTTCATGGTTTCAGGGTTTTGTTGTTGTTTTGAGATTAATCTCTTGAATGCTGGTAAGCATCAAGATGAAAATAGGTTGTTAAGAAGAGAACAATGAAAAAACCCTCTCCTTGTGGAAAGGAGTAGTTTTGTAGAGGAAAGGAAGAGAAGACTAATTTATGCGTTACTCAAAACTGACCTTTTATAGTAATTGCTATGTAGTTTCACTATAAATTATCTCATAGAAAATGTGAACAGTATAAAAGGAGTTGAAATTGATGAAATTAATGGTGAAAATGGTGAAAGTAATATGGTAATAGTACTCTTGATTATATATATATATAAAATAATATATATATTATTATATTTTAAATCTCAAGAAAGACAGAAATGTCTCTTTTTACACTAGTGCCGGAAAGAAAGAATAAGCATTTGCAAGTAATTTTTGTCTAAGTTGCTGCCAAATATGTGCATCTTTATAGTGGTTTTTAATTCTTTTTTTTTTGTTGTTTTTAACATATTGCAAAGCAGGATGTGAGCTGCCATCTTCCATACTCATAATTATTTTCATGTATAATCTTTTTCAGGGGGGTACAATATATTGTAATTGTAGCATTGAGAGGGAAATGCCAAAAAACAAACAAACAAACAAACTTCTAAATGGGAACTTTACATTGTAGTGATTGTATCACATAGGATTTCATACCACATCTTGTAGCATTCCACAATTCACTAACTTCTCATTTTCACGCAGTGACACAAATGAAGTTGATGTTCCCTTGAATACTAGAGTGGGAACAAAACGTTACATGGCTCCAGAGGTCCTAGATGAAAGCCTGAATAAAAACCATTTTCAACCATATATCATGGCTGACATCTACAGTTTTGGGCTAATCATTTGGGAAATGGCTCGGCGTTGTGTCACAGGAGGTAAACTTCTAAATATTATATATAAAATCTACAAGGCCTTTGTCTTGCTTTAACAATACTCCTCCAGGAAATAATGTAACAAGCCTGCTATCAAAAGGCTTGTCTTATTTTGAAGCAGTCAAAACAACCTATCTAGCATATAGCTTGAAAAGCAGTGAACTAAACCTTTCTAATTGTTAGTTAAGCAGCTCAGGGTTTCTTTCCTTACTAAAATACCAAAGTACCTGGTCTTGAAGAAGTAGTGGGATTTAGTTGTATTTCAACTACTGTGCTGTCAATGCAAATTCTAAAATGTAATTGTTGGGATATTTTGCTATAATTTATTGTGCTTCTGTTCTAATTCAGTGTTCTACACATTTTTGTGACTCATCCTTGCTTTTCTCTTTACCGTTCCTTTGTGGTCCTCTGGCTTGTATTCTGTTCTTCCATCGTACACTTTCTCCCTTTTTCTTTATAGCATAGAATGGGTTAGAAGATGCCAAATTCTACGTTATGTGTAAAAAGTCAAAGGAACTGCAAGGGATTACATTTAAACTTGCTTTTCATAGTTGCTGGAGCTTTTCTGTTAAATGATTGTTATAATGATGTTTTTGAGTTTTTATTACAGTATAACAGTGTGTTGCATTTGATTTGGCACAAAATTGTTATTTTTGCTCCTGCTTAAGGAAATTTGATGGTAGAAACATTCTTTTTAAATTATTTTATTACTTTTTTCTTAAATGATGCTTGTTCTTTCACAATCATCTCCAGGTATTGTTGAAGAGTATCAGTTGCCATACTATGACATGGTGCCAAATGACCCATCCTATGAGGACATGAGAGAAGTGGTGTGTGTCAAACGTCTACGCCCAGTAGTATCTAACAGATGGAATAGTGATGAAGTGAGTATGCTGAAAGGAAGAATGAGTTCAGTTTGTTTATTACTACAGAAGGGTATTTTAGTTTAGAAATGTTAGTGTTGTAAACCACATTCAGTTATTCTGATATTTTGGAACCACACAGCAACAGTAGGTTAAAGATCTGTTTGAAATCAACACAAAATACCGTATTTTTACATATCTTTTCAGTGATCTAAGAGGAAGACATCCTTAAGCAGTGCCCAACTGTATGAATGCTGCTTTAAGTGCGATCCCCTATTTAGACAGTGGAGTGTTTTTTCAGTGTTCTGACCAATGCTAAAACTAAATTTTTGTTTGTTTTTTACTAGTTTTAATGTATATAGCATATGTATTTGTTACATTAGGAATTTTGTGGAAAATAGAGCAATTTCATTACGCTTATTTTGGACAGTATATCCTGAGTTCAGAATATCTGACCCTGGAATAGGGTCAGATAATAGTGTTATGTCGTGTGATTATTGTGATAGGAATTTTTCTGGTACATTCCAGATCAGTCCTTCATTTTCAAAAGACATTGTATTTATGCTATGATATTACTAAAATATTAAATATGAATGTGCTTTTAAAGGGCCACAGCTTGAACCCAATTAATAAGAATTAACTGTTTCACAGAAAGCTGCATATGCAGCTTTTCTTCTCCAAATACTTGATTTCTTTTATAGGAATTCCCACTTTTCCCCATAGTATTTTTGGATGGCTAAGAATTTTTGTCAATTCTTCATTTTCAGTGAGAAAGTTGTCTACAGTTTGTTTTGCTGTACAGATGGAGTGTTTTCTGCTTATTGCTATCATTGTTACACTGACTTTCTTGAGTTGTAGCAATAAATCATGGCAATTCATCTCTGTTAAACTAAAGAGATACTTCAGTTAATTCCAACTATTATAATACTAGGTAGTGGAAGGGAAGAGAAAGTTCTCTATGAACAAATTTGCTGAAAATGTGGATGTTGCAGATTTGGACTTGAGTTCTCTAATTTGGGTTTGACAGTGAAGCAAAATTATACACCTCTCAGGTCTGTCAGTTGTTAAAATACTCTTCCTTTGTTTCTTATTTAACAGTGTTTAAGAGCAATATTGAAATTAATGTCTGAATGCTGGGCTCATAATCCTGCCTCAAGACTCACTGCCTTGAGGATCAAGAAGACGCTTGCCAAGATGGTGGAATCACAAGATGTCAAGATTTGACTTAGTAAATTGACATTGGAGAGCAAAGCTGGACTCCTAGAACTTTTTCACCTAAACATGGGTGAGACCTATGTGGAAAGAGGAAATAACTGAGATTCAGTATATTTTCTCACCACACTTCTACAGGCTGCTAATCCAATCTTTCAGTACTTCATAGACTGTGATACTGAGAGCCTCTGTACACTACATGCTACATATATGGACAGCCTTGGTAAAATACACATTTTGTTTTTGTTTGAGCTGCATTGAGACTTCAGTCACATTTAGTGAGTCTCCAGTAAAACTCTGGGTACTGAATTGAATGTTCAGATTACAGTGCTTTCTGTGAAAGCCTAACAAGCTATATGGATTCAACAGAGATGGAGAATATAAGCTTTTTATTTGCCTCTACCTGATAAAAACCTAGTCAATCCATACCAAGTTTTTGTGAAACAGCTTGTATGTTATGAATCTGTTTGTGATACTACTCAGTTTAACAGTTCTTTATGCCTTTATGTGTGTGCCAGGATTGTTTTGCTGCCATTTGGAATAGATAAGAAAACATTTAAATGAACCAAGTTTTATTATCGGGGCTCTATTGTGTGGCTCCACAATTAGAGTTTTGCTACAGAACTTACTCCTTGCCATTAAGTTATCCTTCAAAAATATCAGTTTTATTTGAACTCTTGTTTTGGTCACAAGGAGAACTGCTAAAATGTGAACAATTAGTAAATTAAGAAATGCCTACCTGGTCTGTAGAGCACTTGAAACAATCTTCTCTAGAGGTACAGACTGCCTTGGTCATCTTGCTTACAGAATAGTGGGCTCCATAATTGGACGACTCTGAAATTTGGTATATTCTTCACAATGCCACATGCAGCCAGTATTCTTGCTGTAGGGTACTTTATATCTGAACAGAAAGGCCACTGATGTTGTGGTTTTGCCTTTACGCTTTAGTGGAACTCACTGGTAGGTGCCTGTCATAGTCTGAATTTTTCCGTACAGGAGGAAATTAGTCAGCTGTAGAAGTGTGCTTTCTCACTGTTTGACAAAACTAGGCAGAAGATAAGTTTTTAAAGGCTTGAGAACCAGTATCATTTTAAGACACAAAAGGAGGAAAGATTAGAAGATTAGAGAATACAATAAAGGTCAAGACCTGCAGAACAGAATACGTGAACTGTTGAAGGTAAGATCCACAATATGCAGAAGATTTTGGGCTAGGTTGCTATGATGTAAACGCAGGAGGGTCATGTCTGTGGGACACTTAGTGGACAGTTGTAAAATTAAAGAATTGAGAAAAAGTAAATCAGTGGGTGTTTTACGTTCTAGTTAGCCACATTTTTGAGGAATGGCATTGAAAGATACATTATGAAGATACAATAAATTAGTATAATTGCAAAATTTGGTCCTATTGTGCCAACAGTTTGGCATGCACAAGAAATTGTAGTTCCTTCCTTTTCTCCTCTGATCCAGACAAGTTGGTTGAAAACCAGAACCCCTCCATGAGGTTACTATAAGGCAGAAGTAATGATTTATAATTTCTTTGGCACTTCTACTTTGAAGTCAGAAAATAGTACGATAAAGTTGAAGCTTCAACTGCATGAATCATCAGAAGAATGAAAACACAGTATTGGAATCATTGAACCTATTTGATAATTTAAGTGCCTATAACTTTGTACTGTAAATCTTGTTCTAGATAACTTTAAAAAGGGAAGTTATTTATACAGTGTGTTTTGTGCTTTATTAAAAAAAAAAAATCTAGTCCTATGTACATGTGTATAATTAGATACATGCGTGCACACACACATGTATGCCATACCTGAGATTTGAAGAAAAAAGGAATAATATGAAAATTTAATAAAAAATGGTAAAACTTCAGATTGCTTTATACCAGATTATCTTTTGTCTTAAAGTATGTACATGGAGATTGTTTTGTTATGTTTAAATTTCCCTTGAAAATACATCTGATAAAAAAGTGTAATGCAGAACTGATGTGATTTGTGAACAACTACAGCCTTCTAACATGCTTTTTTCTTTTTAATTCTGTAGTACACATAATGTAAATGGTCAGGCAAAAGATAGCAGTATTTTTATTTTCTATTGTGATGTACAGACTTTATTTAACAGTGCTACATATTTTATAGATAACTAGCTATTTCAAGGGACGTTTCTTTTTTTAAATAAAGTCATTACTTTTGTTCAGTAATGCCTTTAAGTATTAATATGTATTCTGGCTGAAAAGTTCATAGGTGCATCAATTATAATTTTAATTTATTTGAAAATGGTAAAAATACACAATATTGTGCCACAATTCTCATGTTAAAGGGATTTTTAAAAGAAGGTTTCTCCATCCATTGCCAAAAATACATGACACGTTTTAAATGGTTAATCATATCTTTGCGCATAATTTTTGCACAGGTAGTTGAAAAATAATTGGTATAAGCCAAAAAAGTAAGGGATAAGCTTTTTTTTGTTCTCATCTCTAGAATTTTTATCAATAAGAAGGAGAAATGTTTATGTAGATACCCTGCTAGCTTAAACTTTCAGAGCATGGAGATGTTTAAATTAACCCACTCCTATTTTTGTTTCTTTCAGAAGTTGCTACAGCATTATAAGCGGTAAACTTTTTTAAAATTAGTTGATCTCAAATCTTCAAGAAGCCATTGGTGGTAGTATAAGCGAAAGAAGGAAGTGTGACTTTCTATAGCTTTTAATTATTCATCTGTTTTCTCCTCTATTGTTTAGGCATTTGCAAGGCAATAGGATGGTGATCTTTGGTAGACATCTTAAGACTTGAATTGATTTATCCATCCATTTTAACACAGAAGAAGTAAGCTGACTGCTGCAAAGATGATCTATGATACTTGTGAGGAAAAAAAAATCCTTAATCTGTAAGGTTAAGCTTAATTTTTTCAGCACTTCAGTTAGTAGGTTCATATGCAAACATATGTTGCACGTGCAGTTTTCATTGTCAAGAAGAGCTGCTAGATGTTTAGGTATTTTTTGATTCCTTAATATTAAGAAAAAAAAAAAGCTAACTGCTAAAGGACCTGGTTGCATAAAGCACTTGGCACATCTACATTCTATGCAAAGTAATCCACTGATTGGAGCTTAAGTGTGACTATACTGATATTTTAACTATTTAAGCAGATCTTAGCTCTAAGCCAGCCTGTTAATTATAACATAATTAAACATACTCTTAATCTAAGCCGTTGCTTTATGCAATACCATAGAATTCGGAAGCCTTTAAGGTTAGGGTGTGCGTAATTGGATTTGTCTGTCATGTATTTACCTCTCTTTGGATGAAATTTTAAGGATTTGTCATCTTAAAATAAGTCTCCTAAACCTAATGGATGGTTTATATATGCGCATAAATATATAAATAACAATCAGAAATGTGGAATAAATGTTGAGAGTATTAAGACTGCCTTAGAATTTCTTACACTCATGTACAGAAGGTTTATTTTAAATTCAACTTACTCCATGTGACTTTAGTTAGCTGGAAAATAATTTGAGTAACTTACACAATTATTGCTCTTACAGTAGTGGAAATATTTTGTGTTCCTGTCTAACCTGCAAATTCCACGATATTCCCACAATAAAATGTAGGTTTTCCTTTTGAGTTTTTTGAGTTTTAGTCAAAATGTTATTTTTCCTGAGTTTTACTCAGGAAACAGTTTTCCCAAAATGCATCACTTATTTTAATCATCCTGATTATTTTCTTGATTAATCTATCTTGAAATATTCAAGATACGAAGTGTAAAATGAATGTTTTAAGTTACCTCCATTAGATCTTGATCTAAGTGACCAATTGAATGTGTTTGTAAAGTGCATCATTGGGACACACTTCATCTACTCTATTTTTTATAGACTGTATTTCCGCAGTCTAAAATGTTTGAAAAGCAAATACAGTAATTTATTATTTTTTTTAATTGGCTATAGCAGACATTTCTAAAGGGAAGTTACGCTCATCTTCAGTCAAATATTAGAATGGTTTAGCACATGCTCATTCTTCTGGAGTGCCTCTGAAATCAATAGATTTTATCTGGTGCCCACAATCTTTGTTCCAAATAGGGAGTGATGTCTGAAATCAGCTGGCAGTGTTGCATGATACAGTGCTTTATGGAGCCATGGTGTATTAGCCTTGTTTGGTATAGCAGAAGTGGAGTGCACATTACTTTTAGTTTTTGAAAAAAAAATATGTAATTGTTGCTTTGTAATATTTTATCTTTGAATGCAGTTACAAACACCCACATCATGTAGTAGTGACGTTTGTGCTCTGACATGCCGTGCCCAAAATAAAATGTACTATATTGTATACAAGAAGAATAAATAACATTGTAGTTAACGTATAGAAGATGTAAATAAAGTATGAAAGAAGAGTGGAACAAGGTAAATGGTCACACTCTCGTGTGTTATATGCCAGAAGTGTAGAATACTCCTTTAAAAATGTAACACGCTAATGTATTTTGTACAGCATCTGCTTTAAAAGGTGCCTTACTGAGTTTACCATGAATTGCTTGTTCTGTACACAGATTATGTCCAATGTATCATTTTTAAGTAAATAACCTTATTTTAGTACACATTAGTAATGTGTTTTGTTACTATAACATTTTGCCTTAAAAATATCATGGCTTGGAAGTCATAATACCCTAACTATATACTCCCAACTTCTTAATACTTCGTATGTGTGTTTTTCCCACAGTTCTTGGTAACTTTGACTATGCAGTGGGGTTCAGAATTGCTTAGTGCTTTAAGTCTGTATTCCTTGGCCTAAAGTTGAGCACAGTGGTAAAACCGAAGCTTCCCTAGTCTGATTTTTATACTTGGCTTATAGCAAAGCCAGAAACAAGTGTAAGTTGAATATTTCTCTTTTTGAACATGTGCAAGTTGACTACATGCTGCTTTTATCTATAAAAATTCACCTCAGCCAGTCGAGCTCACCAAGTAAAAAGGGAAAAATAAAGGGATGAGGGGATGTTTTTCACAGAGGGAAAACACATTCTTTTTGTGTAGTTTTATCCAGATAATGAGATTTGAGCTAATATGTGCTGTTGGTTACGCAGTTATGTAGTTGTTTCTGTATACCTTAGGTTCATTCTGCTTTATGGTTCAACTAAATGAAGACCAATGAAGGGGATAACTTGTCTGTGAGTACACAGTTCTATAAAATCTGTGAATGTGTTTTCTCATTGCAGTAATGCACCAGCTACTAAACTGCATATAGAGTTCAGGTCTAGTTTGCAAGGAGGAAAAATAAAATCAATTTCTTCCCGTTTTCGTCTGTGTACAGGTATGTTGGTATCAGGCATAATCTTTTCTTTAGACTTAGCTTTTTACAGTAGCTGGAAATGTTTCATCTCTGAACGCCACATAAACAGCTACCAGTATATTATAAAAATGTTAACATTTTTCCGTAACTTCAAGTAATATATTTGTCCATTAGTGTTCTAGAAAGTATTGTATTTAGTTTTTATGGTTTTTTTTCCCCTCAACATACTATTGCAGAAATTTACAGAGCACAAAGATTTGCCCTCTTTACAGTTAGTATCTTGAAAGAGGAAACTTTCTCTCACCACTGCGGCTATAGTTTGTAGAGTATCTTCACAGATAGCACGGATTGTGGTTGGGATGAAAATCTGGTTTTTAAATCATATTATAGGAGGACATAATTTAGGAATGTGGGTAACTAAAACTTTTGCACTAGTCTTTGTTTTGACCAGGCAATCTAATGTAGCTCCTTGAAACGGCCACAGGATGGTGCCATATCCTAAAGATGTGAAAATCTTTCTGAAAAAAAAAACGTGCTTAGGTAACTGAAAATGACAAACTTCAAATTGCAGAAGCATCTGCAATTTGCAACTGTTTACATTAAGAATTGGGTTCAATTCCGTAAATTTCATTAATCCTTTCTCTAGCTTTATCATCACAGCACCCCAAAACACCATTTCAGTCCATCTCACTGATGTTAATGTTGTCTTTCAATACCAGGTGTGACTTGGATTCATGAGAGGACTGTTAATTATAGGTGGATCACCTTATGAAACTGGCTCATGAGGGGTGACCAATGTGGATTTCAGAGGCTGGCATGATGCGGATATGTGAAATGGGTTCAGGTGAATCTGACCAGAGAATACAGGCATTGATAGGTATATAGAAAGTAAACTTTTTGATACACAGCGGATACTTGAATTGTGAGTGAAGTAAGGAGATCATCTTAGTAATGCAGAAGGAAAAAAAAAAACACATGAAGAGACTTTAATTTTAAAATGCAAAGCACTATAAGATACTGACATTCATAAAGCAGTAAAAGTTTCACTGACAAAAGTTCCACAAAGACATTGAAATATGTAAGGCACTTTCTTAAAATATATTTTTATAAAGCTTAGTGGTTTCATTTGGAAATCGAGAATCTGGAACTAACAGCAAGGTTTTCTGGCAATTAGAGGATTTGGGGGAAGTACTCCAAGAAGTTGGAAAATATTTTTAAATACGAGTCTCAGGTTGATGATAGTGGCGGGTGGGTATATTAAAAAATCAAAAAGAAAAACTTCCTGGTTTATGCAGTGGATAGAATGTTTTAAACCATTATATTCCTTAAATTTTTGATTCATAATGCAAATACAAGAGTTTTCCAGTCAAGTATCTCTTCTTTGTGTATTCAGGTGGTTAACTTAAGCATGTATTTGAAGAATACAAACATGAAATCATCTTTATATTAAAGTTGTGTTCACACGAGTTGGTGATCTCTGAACTTGTCTGGCTTATTCTTCAACAAAAATAAACTCTGGTAAGCACGAAGATAACAAACCTTTAAAAGTCCTGCCTGGATAACTGCTAGGATCAGAGATGACATATAGACCTTTCTCTGTTCCTGCTATAACTACTACCTACCTTGTCCCTTTCCAAGCAGCTGTGTGGTTTTCATTCCACTTGAAGTTTTCTGTCAAAGCTTTAAAAACCAAGCATGTTTATTTAAATACATACATACATACATATATATATATATATATGTATATATCCCTTCAGTGTGTTTAATTTTGGCATTTGACCAGTAGCTGCAGAGTTAATGTGCCAGAAATGAGGTGCAGAGTTAGTGCACCAGAAATGAAGTGTTCGTTATTCTCTCCTGACCTGGGCAGTACACTTAACACTGCAGGATGCTGCCAGCAAAGAAGTCCGTAGTTGGAGGACTGCTGGTCAAAATGGCTGGGTCACCTCAGTACAATGACTTTTTACTAAAAGAACCCAGGCTTATAGGTTGATCGTTTTCTTCCTTTTTGACATTTCACCTCTTCACATTTTTCTTCTCTTCTTTCCCTCAGATACTTGAGCCATGTGAGGGGCAGAAGATGACGCTGAGCTTGTGGGCGCTCTGTGTTGCCTACTGCAGAGCAGTGCAGGCCTGGCTCCATGCCGGGTAGATGGAGAGACTTGTCCAGTTAGTCTCACACGAAGGGGAGCACTGGCTAGGAGTATGTGGGGCTGCTAATCAGGTCAGAAATGGCATTTTCTCTTTCCAGAGTTATGAACATCTTCATTTGTGGTCCTCTGTTTTTGGATCTCTGGAAGGGATTTAATCATACCAATTTTCAGATCCATAACATGAAGCAGTACCTTTTTACTTGTTTGTTGCCTTTTTCTGGAAGGAGAGTAACAATCTACCTAGCAAGTTGTAGCTAAGTTGTAATTTTAATTCAAAAGATGCTTGTCAAACTTTTGTCTTAGATGCAGTGTTTATTGGTATCAGTGTTTTTAATTAATTATCCTGTAGTTTAATGTTGCTCAGAATGCAGATCGGTGGGGAGAGAAACTCAAGAGCATTTTTCTAGTAATTGTTAGAAAATGCTATCTTAAAAAGTCCTAAAGTACACGATTGGAATTTATCTATTTCATCAAAACTATTGGGAATTTTTAGATATATTTCATTTTGGCAAATCTAACATTTTTAATATATTGTTTTGTAAGGTAAAAAATATGGTAAACCAGGAATAATATAACTTTAAAATGAAAGCCTTGGGAGATATTTCCTTTGACAGAAGAAAAATTTAGGACATGACAAGACATACTCATTTTGAGGTTTTTGGAAACTTTAACATCGACAGTTCAGAAATTCTGCTCTTTGGTTTACTCTAACTATAAATTTATTTTATATTCAACAGTGGCAGTAGACCAGTGAGCATGTCTATTTGCTGTTGCTTGCTTGCTTGGTTTTAAACTACTAATTACATTTTGGACTGTCTGTGCTATATTCCCAACATTCTTCAGGAATAACTGTAGAAATAAGGAGCAGTTTCAACAATATTTTTGAATATTATCGACGTTTTCCTGATGTTAGGATATATTAGAGAAACATCTGGACAATATTATATTACTATTAAATTTTACAGTGTAGTTGAAATACAGCACAGACCTACAAGGAAAAAAACTAGGCTGCTTCTAAGATCCTTACTTAGCAATAGGTGTTACAGGGTGCACCTTACTGGGTTTGATAGATCTGTACGAGTGTTCATGGTATGTATGGACAGAAATGTTGAATTTTAGTGAACTGCAGAAGTTTGTAATAAAACAGTGTGTGACTGCCTATGGACCACACAGAACGGAAAGGTAAAATTGTCCTGGTTTCTTGGTTTTGAGCAGCTACATTTAAGTGTTAAAGTATCATTCTTCTTCATTTCTCTTATTTGTTTTTCCTTGACGATGAGGATATTTGCCATAAGGAGGGTGCTGTTTTTGCAGAGTCATAGAATGCCTGGGGTTGGAAGGGACCTTAAAGCTCATCTACTTCCAGCCCCCTGCTGTGGGCAGGGACACCTCCACCAGACAACGTTGCTCAAAGCCCCATTCAGCCTGGTCTTAAACAGTTACAGGGATAGGGAATCTACAGCTTCTCTGGGCAGGCTGTGCCAATGCCTCACCACCCTCTGAATAAATAATCTTTTTTCCAATGTCTAATCTAAATTTTTCCTCTTTTAGCTTAAAGCCATTACCCCTTGTCTTATCACCTCACTCCCTGACAAACATCCCTCCCCAGCTTTGCTGTAGGCCCTCTTTAGGTACTGGAAGGGTGCTATAAGGTCTCTCTGGATTCTTCTGTTCTCTAGACTAAACATCCTCATCTCAGCTTGTCTTCATAGGAGAGGTTCTCCAGCTCTCTGACCCTCCTCGCTGCCCTCCTCTGGAGTCATTCCAACAGATCCACATTCATAGTTGGAGGCCCCAGAGCTGACTGCAGTACTCTAGGTGCTTGTGAGAAAGGGGGAAAGAGAAACAAGTTGTGATGTAAATTAAGAAAGTCCCACAAAGCATTTTTTTCTAATTAGGTATAATTCTCACGGTGGAAGGATTTGGGAATGTGTGTCCTGATAACGTTTGGAGTCCAAACCATTGGGTTATCACTTGAAAGGAAATCCATTGCTGCTTATAAGCAACTAATCAAAGCCAAACACTTCCAGAAAAGAAGCTTGAAGACAAATCTAGAGTAGTGCTATGTTTAAACACATGCAGTAGGATTGAATACATCACAGATGAAGCAATAGTGAATTGATCCATTGCATCTATGGAAAAGATACCAGTAAAAC